GCTGCACAGCTAATATGATCACCCAGGAAACACAGCTAAGATGATCACCCAGCTGCACAGCTAAGGTGATCACCCAGCTGCACAGCTAATATGATCACCCAGCTGCACAGCTAAGATGATCACCCAGCTGCACAGCTAAGATGATCACCCAGCTGCACAGCTAATATGATCACCCAGCTGCACAGCTAAGATGATCACCCAGCTGCACAGCTAATATGATCACCCAGCTGCCCTCTGTAATAATTACTGTGTGTGTCTCTCTCTCTGTTTGTCTGTTCTGTTGATAATCTTTGTAAATATTTCCTCTGTTTCCACCTTGTCAATCCCTCTTAAGTATTTTACGACTGTATCATGTCTTCCCCTCACCCTCCTTCGCTCTGACGTGAGCAGGTTTAGTTCCTTCAGTCCCTCTTCGTGCCTCATCCCTCGTAGCTTTGGGACGAGTCTCGTTGCAAATGTCTGCACTTTTAAGAGCTTCCTTATGTGATTTTTTTTAGATGGGAGCTCCACGATGGGGCGGCATACTCTAAGACTGGCCTCATATAAGCGGTATAGTGATCTACAATACATTAGGAAGTGATGTGGTGGAGGCAGACTCCATACACAATTTCAAGTCTAGATATGAAAGAGCCCAGTAAGCTCAGGAACATGTTGATTGACAAGTTGAGAGGCAAGACCAAAGAGCCAGAGCTCAACCCCCGCAAGCACAACTAGGTGAAGGTGAGTATACACAAGCAAACTAGGCAAGCAAAAAACTAGGCAAACTAGGCAACACAAGCAAACTCACCTATACACTAGGTGAGTATACACAAGCAAACAGCTTTTCCCAGAAGCCATCAGAGACAGCGCTGGTCAGCTACGAAGGACAACAATCAATACCAGCTGTGCTGGAGCCGTGTCATGCTTTGGCTGCACCAAGTTGTATGTGTGCGCGTATGTGTGGCTGTTTATGTATGTGTTGGCTGAGGCTGTAAGAGCTGTTTCTGTGCATGTCTGTATGTGAATGTGTGTGCACGTGTGTACTCACCTAGTACATGTGTACACATTTTTATTTATAAGTGTTTGTATTTGCATCTAAGTGTGTATGTATATATGTGTATTTGTGTGGATGACTACGATCAATATATTACTGAACATTATAGTTGATAAAACATATATACTTTTCTTCTTGTACACGTGCAGTATGATACCAGACGTACACAGACCAGGTACACAGACCGGGTACACAGACCAGGTACACAGACCGGGTACACAGACCAGGTACACAGACCGGGTACACAGACCAGGTACACAGACCAGGTACACAGACCGGGTACACAGACCAGGTACACAGACCAGGTACACAGACCGGGTACACAGACCAGGTACACAGACCGGGTACACAGACCAGGTACACAGACCAGGTACACAGACCAGGTACACAGACCAGGTATACACAGACCAGGTACACAGACCGGGTACACAGACCAGGTACACAGACCGGGTACACAGACCAGGTACACAGACCGGGTACACAGACCGGGTACACAGACCAGGTACACAGACCAGGTACACAGACCAGGTACACAGACCGGGTATACAGACCAGGTACACAGACCAGGTACACAGACCAGGTACACAGACCGGGTACACAGACCAGGTACACAGACCGGGTACACAGACCAGGTACACAGACCGGGTACACAGACCGGGTACACAGACCGGGTACACAGACCAGGTACACAGACCGGGTACACAGACCAGTTACACAGACCAGGTACACAGACCGGGTACACAGACCGGGTACACTGACCGGGTACACAGACCAGGTTCACAGACCGGGTACACAGACCGGGTACACAGACCAGGTACACAGACCAGGTACACAGACCGGGTACACAGACCAGGTACACAGACCGGGTACACAGACCAGGTACACAGACCGGGTACACAGACCGGGTACACAGACCAGGTACACAGACCGGGTACACAGACCAATTACACAGACCAGGTACACAGACCGGGTACACAGACCGGGTACACTGACCGGGTACACAGACCAGGTTCACAGACCGGGTACACAGACCGGGTACACAGACCAGGTACACAGACCAGGTACACAGACCGGGTACACAGACCAGGTACACAGACCGGGTACACAGACCAGGTACACAGACCGGGTACACAGACCGGGTACACAGACCGGGTATACAGACTGGGTACACAGACCAGGTACACAGACCAGGTACACACACCGGGTACACAGACCGGGTACACAGACCGGGTACACAGACCAGGTACACAGACCAGGTACACAGACCAGGTACACAGACCGGGTACACAGACCGGGTACACAGACCAGGTACACAGACCGGGTACACAGACCGGGTACACAGACCGGGTACACAGACCAGGTACACAGACCAGGTACACAGACCGGGTACACAGACCAGGTACACAGACCAGGTACACAGACCGGGTACACAGACCAGGTACACAGACCAGGTACACAGACCGGGTA